TGAGGTAACACAGTTTTCCCATTCATTGTCTGTTATGATACTCCCATTCCAAGAGAAGTGAAACCACAACAGGGTCTCAGCTGACCCAAATACGGGAGTGTCAAGACCGCTCCTCTAAAAGAATGTTTATGGAATTTTTATTTCCGTCATTTTAATTAAAAATATCAAACAAATTCATTTCCTTACCCAGCACTCCCTTAAAACACCTGTTTAGATTTTTTCTACCACTATACAATCAAACAAAATAAAACACTGGAACAAGAAAAAAAAAAATTAAAAGCATACGCTGTATACATTTATGTTACAGGAACTACAGGACTGAATGTGGGTGCAAATAATAGTATAATACCATATAAAAACAAAGTGTGCTGTGATCTCCTAACCCAGAACTTACTAGAAACATGCAGCGTAATTAAATAAACCCAAGTTCATATGGTTGCATCTGCATGATGAAATGTTGGTACACGGATCTGCGTCTTCCCATGACATACATAGTTCAGAATTTAGATGCAGGAAGTGTGGCGTGCAAATTAAAACTGCATCCTTCACAAATTAAATTACATTTTGGAGTGCCATATGTATCCTTTTCAGAAGAATGCTGTGGCTGCCACTGAAAACCAGATGGACATTCATTTATTTGATGGCAAATGTTGAAAAGCTACTGGCAATTATATCAGCTGCTGTTTATCTTTCTAATGAGCCAAGTGGTGAAAAAGCTACAAACTGTAAATGCTACTATAGTCAAGCTTGATAAAACATAATACAAATGTACAGTATTTTATTGTCAGTGATTATGACATTATGTATTAAATGATAAGTTCACCTTTATACAAAAAATAATAAATACACATTTTTTTGCAGGTAAGAAAATGTGTGTTTATTATTTTTTGTTTTGGGAGGCAGTAAAACATTGCACCAGCGATCAGTACAGGCTGACAGCTCACACTGACAGTCTGCAGAAGTCCTGCATGGCACCAGGGATCTGTTGATTGCGGGTGCAATGCTTTCCGGGCTCCCCCCCCCCAAAAAAAAATAGTAAATGCACATTTTTTAACTGCAAAAAAAATGTGCATTTATTATTTTTTTTTTAGAAAGTGTTCATTTTTTTTAAGTTCACCTTTAACCAGTTCCCAACCGTGCTATAGCCGAAGGACGGCTACAGTGAAGTTTTCTAGTTCTAGGATGACGTCCATGGACGTCATTCCAGAACACGCCCCCTGCACGCCCCCAGCGGCGTACACCCGGCGCCACCAGTGATCGCTGTGTCCTACAGTAAACAGCCAATCACAGCAGCCTTTTACCACGTGTTCAGCTGTGTCCAATGACACAGCAGATCACCAGGTAAATACAGTTGCCAGTTATCGGCTGCACTTTCCTCACGCTGTCACAGTGTGAGGAAAGTACTGCCGAGAACCGGCAATTGTCAGCAAAGGGATCGGCACTATTGATCAGTGCCCACCACCTGTGCCACCCACCTGTGACCATCAGTGTCACCCACCTGTGCCCCGCAGTGCCACCCACCTGTGTCCATCAGTGTCCAGCAGTGCCACCCATCAGTGCTGCCCATCAGTGCCGCCTATCAGTGCAGCATCATCTGTGCCAGCTCATCAGTGCCGCCTATCAGTGCCTCCTATCAGTGCCCATAAGTGCTGTCTTTCTGTGCCACCTTATCAGTGTCCATCAGTGCTGCCTATCCGTGCCCATCAGTACTGCCTATCAGTGCCCACCAGTGCTGCCTATCAGTGCAGCCTCATCAACGCAAATCAGTGATGGAGAAAAATTACCTGTTTGCAAAATTTTATAATAGAAACAAAGAAAACCTTTTTTTTTTCAAATGTTTTGCTCTTTTTTTCTGCCCACACTCCTATTATACTTACCTGAGACCAATCTTTATCAAGCACTGTGCATGAGAGCAGAGGCTCTCTAGACTCTCTCCCTCCTCATTGGCTCAGAGACAGCAGTGTAGCTCACAGCCAGTGCGCTCTGTATGTCCACAGACTGAGCTAAACAAATCTATTTGTTTATGGCCGGCTTGGCAAGCATGAGCCAACCAAGATAGATGCTCTTCTTTTGAAACCATTGATTGGCAAATATTGTTCACATCCAAAGGATTCAGGGCATCAACCTGAGGGTGGATCCTAGTGTCCTAGTTTATTAGAGCTTCTTGGCTGAATATATTTTTGGACGATTAACTCCGGTCTTTATTCCACTCCAGTCTCTATTGATGTTCATACATGGGGTCAGGGGGTCCTGTATGCAGGTCTCCTTTTGCAAGTGTTTATAGTATCAATTGTACATGGCATCCTACTCAACTGAAAACTACAACCTTTACAAATGTCACAAATGCTAAAGAGCTGCATAGATCAATGACACTGTTGTTGGTAAACTGGCAACCTATGTGATCCTTTGTGTTATACAGAGAACACTCTCAAGGACACCATAAGTTCCACGTTGCAGCTTGCATTTTATAAGCCCTAAGGGCCAGTTCACACTATGTGCATTTCAGCGTGCTTTTTTTTTCATCCAAAACGCACAGAAAGTAGGTTATATGGTTGTCAATGTCATAGTTCACATCATTGCTTGCAGTTCCAGTGTGTTCCAGTTGCAGGAAAAAAAAAAAAAAGGCTGCCTTTTTTCTGCATAGAGCTGTACTGAAACACGGTAAAGCCCATCAAAAACGCACCGGAATGCACCAAAAAAGCACTGAAATGCACATGTCCCTATTTAAATTGAAGAAAGAGAGAGGGGAAAAAATGAATCGGAAAGCATCAAAAACGCACCGGAACCCGTCAAAAACGCATAGGAACAAGCAAAAAATGCATTGAAAATGTGCATGCACAAACACATCCAGAACGCATTTGGACTGCTTTTCTGTAGTGTGAACCAGCCCTTAAGGTATCCCTATCATACACCGGAACAGAATCTGCCCAAATGCAGGTGTGGGGCAACTCGTGTATGGTGCCACAACAGTACACTAGAAAATACACTCACCAGCCACTTAATTAGGTATACCTGTTCAATTGCTTGGTAACACAAATTACTAATCAGCCAATCATATGGCAGCAACTCAATGCATTTAGGAATCTAGATGTGGTGAAGACGACTTGCTGAAGTTCAAACCGAGCATCAGAATGGGGAGGAAAGGGGATTTAAGTGACTTTGAATGTGGCATGGTTGTTGGTGCCAGATGGGCTAGTCTGAGTATTTCAGAAACTGCTGACCTACTGGGATTTTCACACAAAACCATATCTAGGGTTTACAGAGAATGGTCCGAAAAAGAGAAAATATCCAGTGAGGGCAGTTGTGTGGATGAAAATGCCTTGTTGATGTCAGAGGAAAATGGGCAGATTGGTTGCTGCAACATTCAGATGGTAGGGTCAGAATTTGGAGTAAACATGAAAGCATGGATCCATCCTGCCTTGTATCAACGGTTCAGGCTGGTGGTGGTGATGTAATGGTGTGGGGGAGATTTTCTTGGCACTAGCAAAGTATACCTAATAAAACGAGTGCAAGTTGCCCACACACCTCAGTCTTCTATCATTGATACTGCCTTTAATATTGAACGTTCAGTGTGTCAAAAGAATTGAGTGCAGTGTTCAGAAGTCTTCATCAGACAAAAATGGCATGACTGATGAGGGGACCCTCTGAGATTTCAAAATGTTACACTCTGTTCTTTTGATATGCTGAACATATGCTAATACCAATAACAATCTACTCCAAAAATCCTAATTCACCTTACCCGTGTATGGCCTGCTTTAATGTAGACCAAACACTGCAGTGTACTGCAGATAGCAGAATTCACCCTCTGCTACAAATAGCCCTCTAAAAGGTGGAGGGTTTGACATCACCTTAGTGAATCTGCAATTATACAAAAGATGTAGATCAGATGGTATGTAATTTAAAAATGTATCCTAAAGATATCTAAAGTCAAAGATCAAACCACTTAATCTCATTGTGACCTTAAAGCGGAGTTCCATTTTTGTGTTTATTAAGTCAGCAGCTACAAAAACTGTAGCTGCTGACTTTTAATAAACATATACTCACCTGTCCCGGGGTCCAGTGATGTGCTCACCTGCGCCGTCCCTTCTCTCCTTCTCTCCACGGCGCTGGCATCTCAAATGTGGGCACCAGGCTGTGACAGCTTGCAGCTTCACAGCCTAGTGCCCACTGTGCATGTGCGAGTCATGCTGCGCATCCTGATTGGTCCAGCAGTCCTCTGGGATCTGTGAAAGTTCCCAGGAGACTGCAGGAAGAAGGAAGGAGGGAGTTGAACTTCCGGCTCACTTCACCATGATGAACTGAGTCAGAAGTGGGAGTGGGTACCTGTCCAAACCAGGTACCTGCTCCCCCCTCCACCCCAAAAGGTGCCAAATATGGCAGGGGGGAGGAGGCAAACAAGCGGAGCTTCCACTTTTGGGTAAAACTCTGCTTTAAGCATGGATAAGCCAGTTTTCGTAGACTTGGCCATCAATACTTATAAGAACCTGACCATTCTGTGTAAAAACTTAGATGGTTCTCTACACAACCAAGTTGGTTTGTTTATATCAGCACCCATGGAGCCCTGTGATGTGGTCCGCGACCTCATGCTCTGGGATGGTGGGTTAGAAAGCCCAGATTGCGCTATGCTGACCCGCCATCCCATAGCATCAGAGTACATGGAGCTGGCACCGGCAGTGAAGGAAGCAGAAGGCTGTGGAGGGAGCAGGAGCCACATAAGCCAATGCTTCCCTTGTAGCGCCGGCTCCTGTTCCATGTGGAGTGATACCAAGTGCACTTCGCCTGGGACCTTTCCAGCAGCTTAGCAAAGCCAGAAGAAGCTGGAAGAGAAAAAAGGTCAGTTTACTAAAAATCACATAGTTTTGCAATGGGCATATTAGCACTTTTAACCACTTCCCGACCGCCCTATAGCAGAAATACTGCTACAGGGCAGCACGGGTGTGCATAATCACGTATATATGCATGATTTTGCATTTCTGCGACTGTGGCTGTCAATCACCGGGTCCCAGCCAGTGATTACTTGCAGAATCCCAGTGATTGCCAAGCATCTCCAATGGGGAGAATTGTTTGTAAACAAAGCAGTTCTCCTGCCTGTCAGATCATGCACAGCACAGCCATCCAAAGCAGTGTGCTTCCAGTAAAGCACACGGAAAGAGACACAAGTAAAACAGCACACAGATAACCCTTTGATCACTCCTCATGTTAACCCATTCCTCTCCAGTGCCATTTTTTTAGCACTGATCACTGTTTTGGTGTCACTGGGGATGTCAGTGACACCTAGTCAGTTCCCTTCAGTGTCAGAATGCCCACCACAGTCCCGTATTCCTGCTATAAGTCACTGATCGCCGCCATTACTAGTAAAAATTAAAGAAAAAAATCCCAGTATATATATTGCCCTTTGTAAACGGTATACTGCCATTTGTAAACCAATTACTTTACAGGTATTGGGAAAGACATGTAGCAGAATACATTTTGGCCTAAATTTATGATGAAATTTGATTTTTTTAATTTTTTTACTGGACATGTTTAATACCAAAAAGTCAAAAATACAGTTTTTGATCTCACAATTGTTGGTATTTTTTTGTTTATAGCGCAAAAAAATAAAAACTGCACATTCGTGGGAAGAAAAGGACATAAATTTCATTTGGGTACAGCGTTGCATGACCGTGCAATTGTCAGTTAAAATAATTCAGAGACGTAACGCAAAAATGGACTGGTCAGGAAGGGGGGTAAATCCTCAGGAGGGCAAGTGGCTAAAAAGGGGTTATTAGGCTGCTTTCACACAGATCTGCAGGTACAGCACAGTGCATCTGCGGCTTTCCTGAGGGTTAGCTGTACTGAGCCATAGACTTCAATTATATCCTGTGGGTTTGGTGTGCCTTCTAAAAGCGCACCATAGCTCATGAATGCAGAAGCTTTCAGAAAGTGCACAACACCTGCAAGAAATAATAGAAGTCTATGGCAAAGTGCAGCTAACCCACACTGCGCTGCACGCATGGTGCGCACACGCAGTGCATCAGTGTGACTGAAGCCTTATAAAGGTTCACTGAACTTGTAAAAGTTAGTCTTTTGTAATTCACTGGACTATTTCTTGCTGGTGCTCTAAGGGAAGAGAATTAAAAATATTTAAATGAAACAAGAAGTATAAGAAGTACAAGAATGTACAAGACAAGACAGACAGCAAATAAAGCCCTCACCATAGCAGGCAATACACACAACAGGGAAAAAATTGACCTCAGGGCTGAACTTTCTGCACGAACCCAACTTCTTAATGACTTTCTATTAATATTACAAACATAGAAGCCAAATTATTTGCATTAGAATTATTTTAGAACTTGTTCAAAAAGAACTCCAGGCAGATATAAAAGAAGTTTATTCATTCCTGTATTCATTTATACAGTACACCCACACCCTTACATTATTTTTTTAAGTAGACAGTTTAAGTATCTGAATATGATTTGGTACCAGCCTCTTACAGTCTATGTACAGCAGAGCTCAGACTAGGGAAGGGAGTAGTAGCACAAGGAGCCAATGAGTTGTGCTGCGGTGCAAAACACATGCTAATAGGAGGAGAGACTAAAGTGACAAAAAGATAAGCTCGTGAGTGTGCGGTTTCTCCTTTACTGTGCTGTCAAAGGGTATGGTGGAAAAGGGTATGTAGCAGGAAAAATCAGGTTTCTTGACAAGGCTTTGCCGTGTGGCTCAGAACTGCATAGACAACTATAAATCATTTGGCAGGTAAAACAGCCCTCATTCATTTTATTTTTTTTGTGCACTTAGCTGTTTGCCTTAAAGAAGAATTCCAGGTATGGCATTTTTTACATAGTTGCATTAATCCAGCTTGGACCAATTAAACTATGCATAAACTATACCCGTGGGATCCCTCTAGAAGCCTTCCACCTCATCCAATGAGAGAACGCTTTGCATTCACTGAGCAAATGCAAAGCATTCTCTGAATGGTGCCCGTGCTAAGCAGCTGACCTCCTGTATTCAGTGCACTGGGCTGGCTGCTCAACACAGGACCCGGAAGCTAGTGGACTTCACTGGGGTAGCAGTGACTACTTCAGTGATTTCCAGCTTCTAGAGGAAACCCACAGGTATGTTATATACATATCACAAACAAACAACAGATTTCCCAGCACGCTTACCAGCCAGCCTGCAAAACAACCAAACTGACCCTGTCTCACAATTCACGTTGACACTTCGCAAGAGAACAACGGCAGCTGAAGGCATCCAGTGTGTCCCTGCATCAAATTTAACCAACTATGCAAAAAAGTGGCAACCACCCCAACCTATAACTAGCCTTTAGAGTAAGGTGCACATGAAAAGGCAACAAAACATTTCCCAGCACACTTACCAGCCAGCCTGCAAAACAATCAAACTGACCCTGTCTCACAATTCACGTTAAAAAAAGAGGGTTGTGTTTGCAAATACACACTTAAGCTGCAGTGCCCACATCAAGGGACCTCTGTATATACTGCAGTCCTAATCCTATCATTTTCAGAGTCTTCCAAGTTGGAGCACATATAGCAGTGGATAAATTAAGGGCAGGTGTGCCTGGAGGGAGTCCACCCCTCCTTAAAGGCACAGGAGTGCACATGACACCCCCGCAAGAGCACAACGGCAGCTGAAGGCATCCAGTGCGCCCCTGCATCAAATATAACCAACTGTACAAAAAAGTAGCAACCACCCCAACCTATAACTAGTCTTTGCAGGAAGGTGCACATGAAAAGGCAACAAAATATTTCCCAGCACTCTTACCAGCCAGCCTACAAAACAACCAAATTGACCCTGTCTAACAATTCACATAAAAAAGAGGGTTTTGTTTACACACATTTGCAGATATACACATAACCAGCAGTGTCCACATCAAGGGACCTCTGTATATACTGCAGTCCCAATCCTATAATTTTCAGAGTCTTCCAAGTTGGAGCACATATAGCAGTGGATAAATTACAGGCAGATGTGCCTGGAAGGAGCCCACCCCTCCTTAAATGCACAGGAGCACACATGACACCCCGCAAGCGCACAACAGCAGCTGAAGGCATCCAGTGCGTCCCTGCATCAAATTTAACCAACTGTACAAAAAAAATGGCAACCACCCCAACCTATAACTAGCCTTTGCAGTAAGTGCACATGAAAGGGCAACAAAACATTTCCCAGCACACTTACCAGCCAGCCTACAAAACAACCAAACTGACCCTGTCTAACAATTCATGTAAAAAAGAGGGTTTTGTTTGCACACTTATATGCATACATTGCCGTTACCACGTCAAGACTCCTCTGTATACTGCGGAGTATATGAGCACAAGAGGGTGGCTACTTTCCTACACACAGTAGAACCATGGAGAACAAATGTAACCACCCTCTAACAGGAAATCAGATCACGGCAGCCAAAAAAGTGCAATTTGGAGATCTGGAGGAGGTGGCGAGCAACTGAAGTTACTTTTCTGACTTAGCATACATACGTAAACAGAATTTGTTTTTACCAGAGTTTAGTGTGATTTTAACTTTTTCCACACTACCTAAATAAAGAAAAACTTTTGGCTGGACTTCTGCTTTAACTGAAGCCCAGTACAGACACATCTTATGACGCTGCTGCTAGTAAAGGACAAAATAAACATTTGGCTTACATCGTTCTTCAACAAAAAAGTATATTACAAAATGTATATTCCTGCACATCTATAAACTACCTACAGACAGCCAGCACCTGATGATATGTGTATACAATCACAAAACAAGGATTCTATGGAGGAAATCCCCATTGACAAGTAGAAAAATAATTGACACATTTTTTAACGCCATCAAGCAGTCTGTTGTTTCCAGCATCTTTGATTTATTTCCAGAATATTCAGAAGTATCAGTGCATTGCACACTGCCTCTATTGTGTGCCCTCTGTGCTGGATGTAGGCACAGACAAGTTGGTACACATACAGCGTGTAAGTGCTATTTTTCTTCTATCCGAGTAAACAGCGTCTGTTATTGGCCTTGTACATTGACATCACACCTCTTACAGAAGATCACTCACATGTGAAATACAGACGATGCCTTTTTTCAGCTCCTGAAGGCATATTAAACACAAGCCACGGCTTAGAGTCAGACAAAAGAGGTAGTATTGAAAAACTGTCTCAGTCGCTGGGTTTGGTACAGTCAGTTCACTTAGGTTGAACTGTTCTGCATTATTATTGTGCCGGATGCAGAGTTGTACAGTGACGGTTAGAAGGAATTAATCTGAAAAAAATGGATCCCAAAAAATGGATGTCAAATATGATATATTTTTCGACCTATTTCACTGAAGTAAGGTTATTATTTGCCTATTAGATCTCCCTAGGCATAAGGAATATCTACAGTGCATCTCTTTGCTTGCAAGGTGCCCGCTATGCATGGATGCCTGCAGTTTACGGGAGTTAAAGTAGTATTATCTTGTTAATGATTCACTTTGTCCAGCAAAGTAAACAATTCCTTACTACATATTTTTTTAAACACTACTTTCTTTTCTTTTTTTTAACAGTTACTTAACTGATCTGATTGTACCCTTGCATCCTCTGCTCCCCTGTGCGCTGCTTCCCTGAACTGCCTGTTGGGGAGCACCTGCACCTAAAGTCAGTATTGGTCACCTTATTAAATTCATCATGCAAGCATGATTGCCCATGTGTGCCCCATCATTGATAACATTTTGAGATGTGAGGATAGTTCCTGGGCTGACACCCTGTATGCCAGGTTTGTGCATGCAAGGCTGGCTCCAACAAGGCTCCATAGGACCCTATAAGGGAAGGGAGCCACACTAACCCAGGACCAGTGCTGGGAGGACAATCTGATTCTGGAGGAAAGAAGAAAAGCACTTCCTTTTAAATAAAGGCACTCATAAAAAAAAAACTTACTACTTTCTGGCCTAGGCCCCTCTTCCTGCTGGGATCCACCATTATTCCTTGCAGAGGGCAACAATGCGGCAAAATCTTGCACGTGGATGGATGTACCACGGGTCTTAAGGATCTGGGAGGGGCCTGTGGCACATCTGTGCGCACACATTTCCGCTCATGCGCACACAAGCTACAAAAGCCCCACAAGGCTTGCTGGCAGAAACCAGTGCATGTGTGCTTGCATGCATGGGAAAGCACCACGCATGCGCAGATGTGCTGCAGGCCTCTGCCAAGTTCTAAAGGCCTGGCAGAGACTTGACACTCAACTGTACATGAGCAAGATAATTAAAGATAGCTTTGCCAAGGAGGAACAGAGGGACAACAATATCCCCGGGTCAAGTTCTGTTTAAAATCTCCTTTATTTTTGACCTGAACAGAACACTATGTGAGGTGCTATACACTAGACTTAGATGTCAGATCTGCATATTGCTAACAATTGAAACTTGAA